GGATACCACCCAGAGTATCTCTCTAAAAAAAAAAAAAATCCTCTTTTCGAAACAACCCATCTTCTTCTGTTCAATCGTTCTGAAAACGAATAAACAAACATTTTTGACTTATTCCTGATTTAACTTGCTTATCGGACATATCGCGAATCTGAATGAAATTCTTCGTGCTTGACGTTTAATCACTGCCAAAGAGAGGGTAAAAAAAAAAAAGAAAAGAGAGAAAAAAAAAATTGGAAAATTTTGATTTCGAATTTTTTTTTCAATGTAACCATATTATGCTCGATATTCTTACGATACTATAAATCTAATTCAAGAATTAAACATAAAATTTCTTCTTTCATATTTCTCTTTTTCATAAATTAATTTATTCGATTGGAACATTTAAATCGACGCCTTGATCATAAAATTTTAAAAATATTTTCTTTTATTCTTAGTCAACGTCGAAGAAGAGAAAAAAGGAAAGAGGGAAAATGAAAAATGAAAAAAAAAAAAAGAAAAAAAAAGAAAAAAAAAAAATGAAAAAGACCCGGTCGCCATCACCGACTTAAAATGAGCATCGTTTTGTTACCCGTCCAGGACTTTTATCAGAGTGACAAAAAAAAAAAAAAAAAAAAAAAAAAAAAAAAAGAAAAAAGAAAGGAAACAAATAAAACCAAACAAAACCAAACAAAACCAAACAGAACAAAACAAAAGAAAACAAAAAAGAATGACACGTTGTGAAAAGTTTCTAAAACTTTTTAGTTAAAACCAAGCCATAAAAACTTGTCTAAACGTATCGAACTTTAAACTTTCCTTGCAATTTATTTCTCTCTCTCTTACTCTCTCTCTCTCTCTTTCTCGTTCTCTCTTTCTTTCACATAGTACGTACTATACAGCTACCATAGAAATCCTAATCACAAAATGCAAACCTCTCTCAAGACATATATTCTAATTAAAACGATGATAATTATTATGATACACCAACGTAGTTTTCAATGTTCTAATTATTATATTACTTTTTCTTACACAGAAACACACACACACACAGAAATATATATATATATATATACTTCTGGTAGTATTCCTATTTAGACATAGCAAGGTTTAAACAGTTACTAGAAATATATACTCGCATATATTAACATATCTATGTATATATCCTATATGAACTTATGCTATGTGTGGAATTACTAATTATTGTCGGTCGTATACTAATTAGTAAACAGTACTGTAATTACACGTTCATCGATCATCGTGAAATTTGCCTTATTGATCTCTCTCTGTCTGGTCTCTCTCTCATATTAATCGTCATTACATTATCGGCACAATATTGAATGCACCAGACCTTGACGACCTTTCCATATTCATGTTTTTCAATAAACAATATGACCTTCGAAAAACGAGAGATAGAGATAGATAGAGAGAAAGAGAGAAAGAGAGAGAGAGAGAGAGAGAGAGAGAGAGAGAGAGAGAGAGAGAGAGAGAGAGGTGGGTGGGAAGGGTGGGGATTAAGGGTTACGCATACATCTATACTTTAATTCACCTTTTTTACGACGTAATTCACAAAAGAAAAAAAAAAATAAATAAATAAATAAATAAATAAATAAAAACAATGCTCAGATCTCGACAATGTAACAAATTATGTGTATTGAATCGTACGTGAAATATATCACGTAAACTATTTTAACAAATCAGAACATTTTATAGTTAATCAATTGTCACGTTAAAAATGGCTGAGTCCTCCTCTATATCAGATCGGAGATGATAAATGGTATACGATTATGTCAACCATTTTGATTTTTATTTCAATCTTTTCTATTTTTTTTCTTTTCTTTTTTTTTCTTTTTTTTTCGCTTGTTTTCTTTTTCTTTTTTTTCTTTTCATACATTCATCAATCTTATTTACTTGCATCTGCATAAATAGTTTCAGTTTCTGACACGCTCGATTATGTTGAACTATTTTCTTTCTTTCTTTTTTTCTTTTTTTTTCCTTCTTTCTCTCTCTCTCTCTCTCTCTCTCTCTCTCTCTCTCTCTCTCTCTCTCTCTCTCTCTTCCTCGTACATTCATCAATCTTATGTACTACCGAACTACACAAATGGATTTAGTTTTCCAAATAACGTTCTATTATGTCAATTCGTTTTTTTTTCTTTTCATTCTTCTTCTTCTTCTTTTCCCGACCACCCTCCCCCTCTCTCTCTCCATTCGTTCATAAATCTTATTCAAAAATTCAACCGTATAAATAAATTTACTTTATTTCGAATTAAACTAATTTGAATCAAACGGAGATTTTGGATCACTCGAAAAAAGAAGTTAAACCTATTATATATATATATATATATATATATATATATATATATATGTTTGAGGCTTTGATCGCACCCCCACCCTTTCAAGAAAAAAAAAGAAGGAAAAAAAAAGAATTATTCAAAAATTAGACAAAAATTTAGAATCTTCAATTTCCCTCTCTCTCTCTCTCTCTCTCATATATGTAAATATATATACATATATAATATATATATACGTCGTATACTCGTACGATTTGAGATGTACATTTAACTCGCTCGTTTTTCTTGAACTTAAAATCAGAAAACTTTTTGACAATTTGTTTTCAAAAAAAAAAAAAAAAAGAGAAAAAAAGAAAAAACATAATTAAATAAAAAAAGAATAAAAATTATGCATTTCATTGAAACCTGCGTAACAATAATCGATGTGTCCCATCCTGAAAATATGAAAACGATAGATTGGATACGTCCGAAGGCAATGCTATTATTTATTTATTTATTTAATTTTGAAATCAATCGATCAAATAGAATATCTATCGAAGTTGAAAATAGTTTTTAATCATCGAACGGATTCTTTACGAGAAAATAAAAATTATCTCGATAATTGGAATCCAAGCAATTAAAAATGACGTTTATGATTTTCTATTGTAATTCGTACATTATAAGAATAGTATATATATATATATATATATATATATATATATATATATATATATATATATATATATATATATATATAATAGCTATATATAATACATTAATAATAATAATAATAATAATAATAATAATAATAATAATAATAATAATAATAATAATAATAATAATAATAATATACAATATATTATTATTAATATATATTTATAAAATATATATATATATATATATATATATATATATATAAATAATAATAAATGCAATGTATAATAGATAATATCTAAAAATGTAAGAGTGAATTAAAAATAGTCTGAAATGATTATGGGAAACGATTTAATCTTGTCACGTTGTACGGAAGGAAGTTCGTCATGGAGAATTCAATTAATTTCTTTTGATATTCATTCTCTCTCTCTCTCTCTCTCTCTCTCTCTCACTCTCTCTCTTTTTCTCTCTCTCTTACTCTTTCAGTTCATTGTTAAAATACAGGAACAGCTGAATATGATAGTAACAGCAAAAGCAGCAGAGCAGTAACAGTAACAACTGAACCCACCCACCTCCCATCTCCTCCTATTTCCACCCTATCTCACCTCGCCGCCCCCCTTTCTCTCTTTTTGTTATTCCTTTTTCTTCTTCTATTAATTCTCATTTCATTCTTTCTCTTTCCCCTTTTATCATGTATCGTATATTTTATACTAAGCGAAACGAGAGAACTGTGCTCTCGATCACGATCAAGACGACGATAAAGCAAATGATCGATGATATATTGCGATCGGATTCTTTCTTTTCTTTTTTTTTTTTTTCGAAGAGAGAAATAGTTATTGAGGAAGGGTTGAAAGTGGGAAGAAAATTAAAAAAAATAATAAATAAATAAATAAATAAATAAATAAATAAATAAAAATAAAAAAAAAATATTGAAAGATGTATTTCTCTCTCTTTTTTTACTTTCTCTCTCGCTCTTTTTTTTGTTTTTTTTTTAATTTGAAAAAAGCGGAAGTTACAAGAGAGAGAGAGAGAGAGAGAGAGAGAAAGGGAGAGAGAGAGATAGAAAGAGAGTAAAACGATCGTTCACGATTAGCAGAAGAGAACGTCGCGAACGAAACGATAAACGTCACCAAACGTTTTAGTATTCCATTCGTTTATCGTTGAATTCTATGGAAGATTTATAACATGCATCATTGGTATGCATCTCGTGCATTAAATTATTCGTACTACTACTACTACTACTACTACTATTACTACTACTATTACTACTAACATGGAGCACGTTTTTTTCTTTCGAATTCTGATAGAACACTCTGTTATTATTATATATATAGATATAATAATTGATATATATATAGATATAAATATATATATATATATATACGTGTGTGTATGAGTGAGTACAAGGATGTATTTAAGGATAAACGTGATCTCTTCGTGGGGATACGAGGAACCCTACGAAACAGAAAAAAAGAGAGAGAAAGAGAGAGAGTGTATGGAATATCAATTTTATTTTATATAGATAATAAATGTTCTTTCGTTTTTTTCTTTTTTTCGTTATGTATGCATATATATATATATATATATATATATATATATATATATATATATATATATATATATTAATAATAATAATGTTTATATTTGCGAATTATATTATCGAATTTTAACGAGAATTTATTTTTCATTTCGTCGTTCGCATGAACAGTTGTAACGAGGAAAAAAAAATAAAGGAAGAAAAAAAAAATATATATATATATATATATATAAATATTTATGTAATTAATTTATTTCAATGAGGGATCTTAAAAATTATTTGTATAGGCATATATAAGCTCTTTATTGAAGACTAAATCCATCAGTGAGTACATATATTTATATATATAAATATATATATATACACACACAGACACTTTAATATATTTTCTCTTTAATAATAATCGATGATCTTTATTTATTACAACGTCGTTTTAATTTCGTTACAAAAACGTTATAATACTTGCGCGATAATAATGAAAAAAAAAAGAGAAAAGAATATATATATATATATATATATATATATATATATATATAAAAAGATAAAAAAAGATAAAAAAGAAAAAGAAGAAAAGAAAATAAAAGAACACAAAAAAAGAAACAATAGAAATGAAAAAAGAAAGAAAATCCTCTTTATTATACTCAAGTGAGACGCTTAACGTGATCGGTTTTCTTCCTAGACGTCTTGATGAATCCTAGATATTGTAAATCTGCAACCGCTCGTGTGAAACGTGCTCTATGATGACGATTATTATTATTATTATTATTATTATTGTAATTTAAGAAAAATATAAAAGAAAAGAAAAATGATTAATAATAAAGTGCGATTTGAAAAAAAAAAAAGAAGAAGAAGTAGAAGAAGAAGAAGAAGAAGAAAAAGAAGAAGAAATTTAATTAAAGAAGTTCGACATTATACGAACTATACGAACGTCGTATACGATTGATATTAAAATATCAATTAAAATGATCTCATATATATATATATATATATATATATATATATATATATATATATATATATATAAATATTATCTATTCGCGAATTATAAATCCAATTTTATCGTTAATTCTAATTAAAAAGGATACTGTATTTTAGGATCTATCTGCCGTTCCTCCTCTATATCCTCAACCGGATCTACGATCGTTGAAAAGGCCTACAAATTTCAAATATCATCTACATCATCATCATCATCATCATCATCATCATCATCATCATCATTATGATCATCATCATCGTCATTGTCATCACTGTCGTTATTTAATAAAATGACTTAAAAAAAAATACTCAAAAAAAAAAAAACAAAAAAGAAACAAAAAAAAAAAAAAAACAAAAAATGAAAGAAGATTCCGTCGATATAAAAGGAATTATTATTCAAAAAAGTATTATAGAAAATCATGGCGGTGTAAAATCATTTATAATATTACAAAGTATCGTAAAGTTTTTTATTCAAATTTATCGTGGAAGATCTTCTCGTCTATTTCAACTCATACACTTTTATAAATAAATAAATAAATAAATAAATATATATATATATATGTATATATATATTTATATATATGTGTATGTGTATGTGTGCGCACAATATCATTAGAGATTTCATGCAATCCTACGATCCTCGGACTCGAACTAAATCAACTCGAGATAGGATAGCGATTAAAATCGTTAGACGCAGAATAATATACATGAGCAGGACGCGCACTATGGCCGGTTGCCGCCATGTGCGTGACCATAAATGTATGAGAGATTAACCTGTAAACACGAGCACTGGAAAGGATCATTACCTGCAACCAGTCGTACATATTGATTAGCTTCCTGGATTCCAAGTGTAGCTTATAAATTATACTTAAATCGGGCAGTGTTGCCGGAATGGCGTCCTCGTTTTCCAATTTGCAACAGTCACACTATAATAAAATATGCACTTTCCATTAATCTTTTATCTGGCGCACGCGATGTTCTCATTTTTGAAAAGAAGAAGAAGAAAGAAAAGATGAACAAACATCATATAAAGGATTCACAGTTTAAAAGACGTTTAAAAAAAGAAAAAAAAAAAAAAAAAAACTTATAATAACTAACCTGCAAATACATTTGAGGATCGTTCAAACCCATGTGTATGGCACCCCTAACAGAACCGCGTATATGTTGTTTCACTGCATTTCCATCGTTGTAACAAAATATCTCGTTAGTTGGTACGTTACTAGGATTCGTTAGGTGAACTCTGAAGATCTCATGATCTAAGTAATTTATTATATCGATTTGCGCTTGCTTGTACGGCGAACGTTTATGGGTTTGACTCATTCTTAGTAATTTCTATTTGATCAAATGTAGAAAAGAATGTAAGGCAATGCTTTTTTTTTTTTTTTTTAATTATTGCAACACGAGAGAGAGAGAGAGAGAGAGAGAGAGAGAGAGAGAGAGAGAGAGAGAGAGAGAGAGAGAGAGAGAGAGAGAGAGAAAGAAAGAAAAGAATAAATAAAAAAAAAAAAATCAATAGCATAAAATATTACCTCTTTCAATTGTATACGAGTAAGTCTCTCATCGGCAGAAACTATTTCTTTAGTATCATTACTAATAACGACCAAACTAGCATCTTTGATTTCTCTTATACGCGTAGTAAGATTTTCTTGAAATTTTTTCATAATAGGATCCTTCGTATCCTCAAGTATTTTCTCGATAGATTCTAATTTAGTTAAAAGCTCTTCCTTCGATAAAAAATTTAATAGTTGAAGACATTCCTTATATTCCTGAGACTCCGTAAGGTTACTCGAATAAACTGCTTTAGTATAAACTTCACGTAACTATAATTATTATTTTAATTAATATTTATTTCTCACATATGTCTCTCTTTATATATATATATATATATATATATATATATATATATATATTTTCTTTTTTCATTTTCAAGAAATCATAAAGAAAGCTTTCTTTACTATGTCATATATACCTGTTTTCCTAATTGTGCCTTAGGTAATGTCGATACTAAAGAGTGTAAGCATCTTAATACTGTTAAAAATCGTATAATATATTTGTGAAATTCCATCAATAATGTTCCTATTAAATCCTATAAAAAAAAAAGTATTTGACATTAAAATTCTATAAATTTAAATAGACTTAAAAAACAATGATAAAGTTATCATTATTGTTTTACCTTAAATTTTTCATCGTTAAGTTCTTTTTCATTTTTATTTGATTCCTTTTGGATTTGCATATAGTTAACAATCGATGGTAACTTTTTAAGATCTTTAATATCCTCTTTCGTTAAAGAAGATAATCTTGATTTAATATCTTTTCGTCGGCAACACAAAGAGTTTATGTTTTTTCCGTAAAAATGTTGTATCATACATAACTAAAGGGCATTGCTAATTCGTAAGATATTAAGAAATACATTGGAAAGTTAAAAGGTAACAAATAAAAAGGTATATATTATATTAAAGTCGACAATATGTACCTTATAATTTTGTAAAAAACGATCGACTGAAAAATCATAAAACAAAAATATATCTGTTAATAATTGAAAAGCTCTTCCAGTCAATCTAAATGAAATATCCGATGAAAAAATCGTTCCCTCTAATATATCCGCTAAACTTTTTACTTGCGTTTGCATGTGCAATACCTGAAATGAAAACAACTGTGTGTCTATTCTTGAGAAAACAAAAACAAAAACAAAAACAAAAAAAAATAAAAAAAGGAAAAAAAGTAAATCAATTCAATTATCTAATTCATTAACAATGAAAGTACTTATAATTACCTTAATTTTTAATTTGGAAGTAGCATCATAAGATAAAGATCTATGTACAACGTGCAATGTAGTTGCAATTCCAAAAAAAAGTATAAATTTTATTTTATCCGAATAAGAACTAAAAATTGAGAAAATTTTAATTATTATACTATAAGAAATGAAATCTTTCTTAGTCTCTTTAGATATTCAATCAATCTTAATACCTTAGGATCAAAATAAAATCATGAAGTACTTCAGGTGAAAAACTTTCAAAATCAGAAATAATAATAATTATGGGATCCAATGGATTGCAATGCGTTGTATACCATAATTTTAAAGCACGCATATTACATTGAGTTCTCTTTATTTCTATATCATCCTGTAAATTATATATATATATATATATTTTTTTTCAAGTATCAATTTAAGTAATACATTTTTCAATGAGCCCTAACCTCTTCTTTCTTATTTATCAATTGAAATACTGTATCAGATACTATATTTTTTATATTGTTAGAATCTTTACTCCATAATATTGCAACGTGCATTGTTAGAGTACGTAATTGAACAACTATTTTTTGAAAGAGTTTAGCATGATCAGGAACGTTGATACCTAAAAATGGAAAATTAATTCTATAGAAAAAGAAAAAGAAAGATAAGAAACAATGAATATTATAATACACAAAATATATAGATTTTTTTCATTACCAGTTAATAACATAGCTGTAGGTATTTCATTGTCAAATATATCTATATTATTTGATTTTACACTGGATACAAAAGATTTTAAATCTGATATCAATTGATGGATCATATTAGATCTTATAGACTAAAAAAAAAAGATTAGAATATATTAACTTGAATAACTAATGTTTTAACTTGAATGTATTAACTTGAATAACTAATCAATTAGGATATATTACAAGTTTATATTTAAATTACATTATCATATATCCTATAACAATTCTCATACCTCGGTCTTCATTTGAATGCTATCCCATATTTCTTTGTACGCAATATACCACGGTTCATTAAAATAATCATAAAGACTTTGATTTATTTTACTTCGCCCAATTTTATAACTACCCGTATGAGCAAAAACTCCCTAAAAATATAAAATAATCAAATATTCTTATCGAGCTTACAGAACTAAAAATAATTATTAAAAGTGTGTATATATATATATATATATATATATATATATATATATATATATATATACACATATACATATGTATAAAAAAAAACATTAGATTACGCATATGTAAACGATTTCTTTTATTTATATTAAAAATTGCTTAACGAAACAAACATTTGGAATATCTCTTATTGGGATTTACATTTTAAGGTTAAGTTTAACGAATCGTGCAACAGGTTGTCAAGATTACATTATCTTACCTTTGACACGGAAACTTTGTCCATTCTTCAAAGAATAGAAAAAGATGCTTGAAATAGCTTTGAATATAAAACACTAATAATAATTGAAAATTGTAAAAGAAACACAGAAGAAAATATAAAAGTATATACTCGTTGAAACGGCGTTCCTTCTACCACAATGCCAGATTAAGTAATACGAGAAAGCATACGTATATTAGTTCCATAAGCATACGTAGATGGCAGCAAAGATCATGTAGATCGTTAACCTAACATATTTTAAAAATACATACTACGTACACTAATTAATATTATATCAATATATATATATATATCACAACAAATCAAATGATTATAAATATGATTTATCATCGATTTAAAAATAAATTGAATAAAATATCATTTATTATAATATCGAATATATTATATATATGTATATATATATAATTATTATTCTCAGTATTGATACGAGAA